CGGTGATCGAAAAGCAGATAAAAATTAAAGAAGTCACTGCGAATCAGTATATCATCGAAGCTACAGAAAAACCATTTTAAATTTTAAGTGACGTATCGTATCGACGAGGTATCAGTCCAGTCCCGCGTCTCAATATTAATTAGTGACGTATCGGTCCCGTCCTGGTCTCAATGATAATTATGACCGTTTGCACCGACCATTTTAAGGAAGCCTTAGCGATAAGTATCCCTTAAAATGACATTTTTACATGGAGAAATGTCGCTTTAATGAATACTTAACGCTAAGGCTAAGTCTCAGTTTTAATTACAGACCTCGTTATTGACAAACTATTATTCTGTTTTGATTTATCGTTACAATTCCGTAGTTTCTTCAATCCGAGAATGTGTGTAGACTGTAGATTGTCAATCGATATTTTTGTGAAATATCTGGTTTCTGTGTTGGCTAATCTAGGCTCACATGGACAGTACCTAATTTCAGTCCAGAAGCGCTTAACAGCTCAATGCGCCTAACAGCGCGTAGTTATAAGATTAGTTTTAGTTTAAATTCGATATTTGTCGTGTACGTTTCAATAAGTGCATCGAATTGAACTTTGTATCTCAACAAATGATGAGTCCAAACTTGGAGGCTCAAAATGGCGGCTTCCGTCGCTTTTTTGTTTGCAGTGACAGATAGACAACGCTCCTTCCTGTAGTTTTATATTCAAAGGTCTGAGCAAATGGCAATTAACGAACGGCCCGACCTAATAAACAAACTTCTAACCTCGCTTTTTACCGGCGCTTTTCTTTTATGATTTTTTTGGATGCTCTTTTTTGTTTTTTTTTTTTTGGTGTTTTGAAGTGTTTCTTTTTCATTGTTTACGGGCTATGTCTATCTCTGTGGCAATTTTGGTAGCTATTCATATTCATCAAATGATTTTCGATTATGACGACAACCCGACGAAGAGGAGAAGGCGAAGAAGTGGGTCCTTCTGCAAAGGTTGAGTTGATCCTTCTGCAGAAAAAATCGTGCCACGTTTTTCGATGCAGTTCAAGAAGCACTTTCTGGTTTCAGCAACCTTTTAAGATTTTTTACAAAAGCTTCAAGGTGTGAGCAGCGCAAATATAAAATATTGAATTGGACATCCGGCAATGGAGTTAGAAACTCAATTTCGGGCATTTTCGTAGAAAAATGCCTGATTTGATTTGTACTGGATATTAAACTTTTGAACAGAAAATAAACACCACGTTGGAACTTCGAGATTACGACATAATCTCAATCGCAGATTAATCTCTCTCGTCGGTCTAAATACTCCGAGCAAACAGATTTACGTCCGACTGGTCTGAGCGGAATTAACGAACGGTTCAGATTTGCCTCCCCTACATCTAAGATGCAATAAACGATCAGACGCTAAAATAGAACGCTAACTTGCCGTTTGCGTCCTGAAAGAAAACATAACCTAACGTAACCTGTCATTGTTGTCAAATGTCAATCTTTTTATTTATTCTTTTTAATGTTCGTGCTATCAAGTGCTATATCGTGCATCTTTATTTTGTAAGTTTTTCTATTAGCCTATCCAAAACACGTGATTTTGACAAACAAACAAAGGGTTTGTGTGCCTCTTGGCGGACATTTCAATTTAAGTCTTGGCGGACATTTTTATTTACGTTTGACAGCATCTTGGATAGTCTAATTCGCACCACAGGTTATGATTCCGTGGGCTTTTGCTTTATGCATACTTGGTTTTACTCTTTGAATATAATACTATAGGAAGGAGCGTTTTCTATCTGTCACTACAGTCAACGCAAGGACGGAAACGGCCATATTGAGCCTCTAAGTATGACTCATTATTTGTTTTGGTGGTTCGCTGTGTCCTTATTAAAGGGGAAATTTAATGGATTTTAGCGGTTTTAAGTGATAATAAGCGCTGAGTGTGGTTTAATGTAAATACTTTTTTATCTTGTCATAATATTAGACAGTTTTCGTTGTATTGCCAAATTCGAACGGTTAACCATAACGAATACGAAGACAAAGTCGCTATTTGACAGATCGTCAAAATAGTTTTC